TAAATAAAGAAATTAGTTAGTTTAAATTATATGTAAATATTATAACAATAAGTAATAATAGAATTAAATAAATAACTTACCATCTATAAAATAATTTTTTAAATAAAGAAATTAGTTAAATTATATGCAAATATTATAACAATAAGTAGTAATAATAGAATTAAATAATAACTTACGAACTATATTATTTAATAATTTTTTTTTAATAAAGAAATTAGTTAGTTAAATTATATGTAAATATTATAACAATAAGATAATCATGTATTTTTCCTAAAAAAATTTCTAATTTTTAGGAATTCTACACAATCCTAAATATAATCATATATTTTTCCTAAAAAAAATTTCCTAATTCAGTAAAATAAAAATTAGGAAATTTTTTAGGAAAAATACATGATTATAACAATAAGTAATAATAGATATAAATAAATAACTTACGAACTATATTATTTAATAATTTTTTAAATAAAGAAATTAGTTTAGTTTAAATTATATGTAAATATTATAACAATAAGTAATAATAGAATTAAATAAATAAATCATGACTTACCAACTAAATTAAATTACAAAATAATTTTTTCAGATAATGAAATTAGTTAAATTATATAAATAATATAAATATAGATATCATATAACTTACACCCTGTAGTATTATTAATTATTAATTAGTTAAATATAAAGATAATATAAAAGTATTTACTGTAAATATATATATATATTACTTACAATCTAGTTATTTAAATTAAGAATATAATTAGTTGAATTATGTAAAATATTAAACATGAATTGTTTATAAATAAAAACTTAGTATTTCGGCTTGTTTGATATACCTTCAATACATTTGTCCATTACTATATCAAAATTCTCAAATTCTTCCCAACTGGAAAAGATAAAGTAAATATCTTTTTTTCTTTTTTTTGAGCGCCTTTATTAGTATGATGATAATATTTATGCAAAATACATTATATGCAAAAGCGTTGATCACAAGTACAAGCATTTGCATCATTGCATATATGACAAACAAACCGGAATGTAGATCAATTATTACAAAATCGCATTAACTGATTAATCATTTCATCTTAGGTAATTATTAAGCACCAATGAAATGATTATCATTTATTTTTATATAACACTAGCCGTGCAGCGCCGGGATATATATTTAGTATATGTATTGAAAAGAAAATTATGATTTATGTTTAGAATTTTGTTTGTAATTAGAAATTAAAAAAACCTAAGAAAGGGGTCTGAAAGGTAGTCAGTACCCTTAGAAAAAATTTTTATATATATAGAAAAATTCTTTTACATATTAGAAAAATTTCTTGCATGTTAATAAAAAACTGAAGTAGTTATGTAGATTTGTATTTAATATTAGACTAACAATTTAATTTTTGTATAATACTGAACATACAGTAATTTATATTTACAATATTTACAATACAATAATGTGAGGTATATTTACAATACGATTAAATTAAAATGATATATTAAAATAAATGTTGCAGTATTATAGAATTTATGGTTTATTTATATGTTTACAGACTCATCACAAAATCAATTCTGAATAATTAATTGTTACAAAAAAAAAAAAAATTTCTCATCACCAAGAATACCATCATACGAATGTATTATTACAGAAGATTATCATAGTAATCTATTTAAAAAAAAATTTATATCAAAAAAAAAATATTCTTATCACCAAAGCCTATTGTTATTACTAAAAAAATCGATAGAACTATTACTTAATAGTATTAGAATGATGCCAGTTACCAGAAAGCAAAAAAAAAAGTAAATTTTTTTATAACCAGGAACTAACTACAGTAACACCTCTCTAAGTGCACCCCCCTTGGGACCATAGTAAAAAAATAGTAGAATGTGCACTTAGAGAGGGTGTGCATTTATAGAGAGTAAAATATTAAGAGCTCTTATAAGTTGGGATCAGATCCACCG